GGGGCGGAGCTGTCGGGGGAGAGAGGAGGGGAGGGACTGGGAGGGGCTGGGAGGGGAGGAGGCGGAGAGGAGGCGGCCCGTGCGGAGCAGAGAGCCGGGGCTGGCGGGGGCAGCGAGGCGCGGGCGGCGGAGCGGGGGATGCGGCGCTGGCGGGGCGCGGGGCTGGCGGCGCTGGCCGCGGTGCTGCTCGGTGCGCGGGACTGCCGGCGGGGACCAGCGGGGCCGGGGCTGGGCTGGGCCGGGGGCTGTGCACAGGACTAGTCTCCACACTCCTTCATCTCCTTGGTTCTTACTGACGCTCTATCCCCGTCTTTGCCGTTATACATTTTCCCTGCAGGAAGTCATTTCGTCCCAGCTCTCCCGTCTTTGTTACTATTCTTCTTAATCCATTCGTCCATCCATCCATCCATCCATCCATCCATCCATCCATCCATCCATCCATCCATCCCTCCCAACCAATCTGTTTTCCTCCTTCGCTTCTCCTCTTTTTAACTCAGACTTTTCTTCAAAACATGCCTCATATTCTTCTCCACAACCAGAACCTCTCAGAGAAACAGTCGGGCCAAATTTTATTCTCAGCACAAATCCCCATCAGCTCTCTATCCCCTGCCCCTGCACGGCATTTTCCGCTGTAGAAAAGTAATTCTTCTTCTTCTTTCTGGCAGTGGCTGCGGGCAGAGCCCGGGTGCAGCAGGAGCCGTTGGTAGAGACCACCGAGGGCACCCAAATCACCATCAACTGCTCACACCCCGATATCAGGTCAAATGAATACATCTGGTGGTACCGTCAGCTCCCGGGCCGAGGCCCCGAACTCCTCGGGAACGTTCACAAAGGCTCCAAAGAGCTGCCCGACAAGGCGGCACAGCTGTCGGTGTCACCAGACCGTCGCTGGAGCTCCCTGTGTCTCTCCCGGCCCCGTTTGCAGGACGCGGCCGTGTATTCCTGTGCCCTGGCAGACACGGCCAGAGGAGCCGGGGCTGCGGCCGGGCACGAACCGCCGCGGCGGGGCCGGGCGGGG